ATTTTCAGCTTTTCATTTCAACATTTTCTTTTTTTTTGCTTTTTTTTTTGTTTATTACCCTTTGCTGTTTTTTCAGTTCTTATTTGCACTCGGGTTTTCTTTTTTTTTGCCGATTAAGTTTGGTTTTTAATCGACAATTTTTTGTCATGTTTTTTTTTTTTTTTTACAACGTGACAAGGGGGGGGGGTGAAAGAATGTTTGTTGGCATCACTTTTTCATCATTACCACTTTCTTTTTTTTTTTTTGTTTTTGTTGTTTACTTTGATTTCAGAACACCGATCGCTATGATATAAGTTGGGTTCTTTTTTGGCGTCTGTTTTTTTTATTTCTTATTCTACTATTAGTTTCGATGTCTTTGGAAATCAAAATTTTTTTTAACTGTGATTAAACATCAAAAAAATAAAGTTTTCAAGACATTTTAAATAGTTATTCATTCAGGTTTTTTTTTTTTTTGTTTTTTTGTTCCGCTTATATATTCTATTCGTTTATATGTGTACTTTTTATGATTTAAAAAAAAAAACAAAAATGGAGGAATTTTTTTCATATGTTCGCCAAAATATTTGTTTATTTTTGTGGTAGTGGAGAATTTTTTTTTTTTTTTTGTTGGACGACAACTGGAAATGTCGCCATATACTGCCGATCTGAAACTGCTCAGTGTGTTATATACTCGTTTCAGTCAGTATGCTGTTGCAATAGTTTCAGAGGACTTACAGCAATCGGTCTGTCTTGCAGGTTTTTTTTTTGGAAGGTTTATAAGTGTGCAGTTTGAAGTTATGCAAATGTGAACTGATAAATTACGGGGAAAAAAAAAAAAAAACCATATCGTTATCGTTGACTGAACATAAATTTTTTTTTGCTTTTTACATTCATAGGTTTGTTGAGTCGATTTTGTTGCTGTAAAATACGTTCACAGTTTTTGCACTGATTTGTTGATGTAATTTTGTTGAATAATTGGAAGTTGAGAATCTGCTGGTTAGCGATTTGTTGGGACATTTCCAAAAAAAAAAAAAAA